GATGAAATAAGCTCCCAGGAATGAGATAGGCGAAAGAGTTCATGAAGAAACAATCGCCCAGATTGCAACATGGGTCTGACAGAAGAAACCCATTGCAGGTTTTGTCAAGAAGAGGAAGAAGAGAAGAGGAAGAAGAGAAGAGGAAGAAGAGAAGAGGAAGAAGAGAAGAGGAAGAAGAGAAGAGGAAGAAACCGCACTGCATGTGCTCTGTGAATGCGAATCGATAGCAAGGCTAAGACACGCAAGATGCGGGGAAAAGAAACCAGAGGTTGCCAGGTATATGAAGGGGTCACTGTCAAGGCCATGGAGCCTCATCAAAGAGATCAAGCTAGACAATGAGCTCTAAAAAAAGCTGTTCGGTCGGATCATTTTTCTGAAGCCCCGATACATACGAGGAGTGAGCAGGCATCAATAAACCACTTCCCACAAGAGGTTAGTGATCAATGGGTGCGGAAATCACGTCTCATGCGTAGATGTAAGGAGCCAAGAATGACAGTCTTCTGCATTTGTTCGGTCAAGATTTCTGCCTCAGTACGGCAAACCGGTATGACCTCAAGGATTGATAATAGTGGGCATTATTCACCAATGATTCCATTAAACAGTGAAACTATTTTAACGGAGTGTTCGTGGTGAATTTGCAGAGTTCAAGAAGAAAAATCTTGATATTGTATTCTGTCAATTTCCCTCCAAAGTTCTAATTTTACCTCTGTATTTTTCAAACGAGTTCTGAAAGTTGTCTATCAATTCTGTACATTTTTAGAACACTTCTTGAATGCTTCTAGACGTTTCCTGGATAATTTTTGACGTTTCCGAAGAAATTAGATGAATTCTAGGAGCTTTTAGACGTTTCTTAAATGTTTTTGAAACTTTCCTAGACTCTTTCAGGTTTCCTCAATATCTTAAGTGAATTGATTTAGGTTTTCCAGTTTTTACCCGTTCAAACAAGTTTTCAAATTTTCCACTTTTTTATCTACGACTTTTCTTATATCTGCTACTAACGATCGATATCATAATTTTCGTAATCTATAGATAAAAATTGTTTAAAACGAGTAAGTTTACACATCAGACTGTCGCACATCTTCCAGATACCACTTTCAGCGAATTGAAGTGAAAAAACATCAAAATATGACGAAATTTCCAAGCGAGATACTGCATCGGTTGTATAAAAAATTAGTATCCTGCAATCGCCAAATGAATTCTGATATATTAAGTTTTTTTGACAAAAAACAAAACAATGCTTTATTTCAATATATAGTTTCTAATAATTATCGTAAATTATAACTTGAGGCTATTATGTAATCGAATAACGAGTTTTCTCTTTCTCTCTCTCAAACCCACCACATGAAGTATGCCCCGATAATAAATTACGCTTTCAAAATATGTACCGAGCGTTCAAAACTAGTCTTGGTATAGACTATTCCGATAAATAAGCCAAAACCAACTGTTCTAAACCAACTAAACAGAAGTAATTTTAATAATTGTAATGTCTTATTCAGTCGGATATACGTAAAATACTACAAGAAAAAATTTCAAATTGTTTTCAGTACCTAGGTTTGAAAAAAATGAACTATGTTTCTGTGAGATGGTCCCTATATGTTTCTAAATTGTTATGTTTCATTTGAAATATCTTCATACTTTCGAAAAACAATTAACTAGTGTAGTTTCGATTTATAAACAAAAAGTGCTGTTTTGAAAAATGATTTTAGTATGAATTCTTTGACTGAAATAGAAATGAATCAAATACCTACCTCAAAAATTGAAACAACTGCAAATTGAGATCATCCATCTTAACTCACCCAAATAGTAAACCATAAATCAGATCAGATTGATAAAAGAGTCAACTACACAATTTACTTTTTGAAATATTGAGACTTTAAGTGAGTTCTCACGAGAGTTTATAAAAATAGCATTATCATTAGTGTTGGCATCTTCATTGAATTATTTCTATAACTCAATCGCATCCATGACCTTTTCAATAATCGGTTCTTCCATATAAAGAAGGTGAAATAAAAGAATTTACCCAATCATGGTAGCATGGTCTGAATAAACTTACACATCACTCATTATGGGCCTTGACATAGCTGGTGATTCATTTTTTTCCTGCGACAAATTAATTAAGGACAGATTAAATGCTGGTTACATGCGACTTGATTTTTTTTTATGTAGTTGGTGGTAATGATAATAAAAACTCCTACAATAGGTCCATTAGTACAATTGTATGCCTTTCATATTGCTATAAACACGTAGAGTTATTGTCTTGAGCCGTGTGATTATAAGAATCATCTGACTTTGATGGTCAACATTTCCTTGAAACACATTTTATAATTTCGAGTGTACCAACACCCCATACAGTTCAGTGGCGTTTACATACTTTTGTACGAAGGGCACTACTTTCTAAGGGTTGACAGGAGCTGATTTAATTTTGATTTGACAATAATTAGTTAAATGCAATAGATTTTCAATTATTGAAACACACTTGCACACCGGTTTCGGGCTGTTTGGCCACTAGTCAGTACAAGGTAGTGTCTATCATCAAAAGTTGATAATTTCCGATATCTGACAATTGAATTCCTTCTGAGAATCATTCCTCGAATTAGGCTGAAGCGGACAACAAACAACAGGTTTGCAATCACCCCATCTGCCTGTGAACGAGGTAACCAACCGCATAGGTATCCGAAATTTGACCAATTCCTAATATAAGGAAAAACACCGTTTCACGTATAGTCAGTAGGCATGCTTGAAGACTGGCTATAAATCGAATAATCTTAAAGAACAATTCAATCAGGCCAATCTGATATAATTTTGTGGTGCTAGCCTGAACAAATTCTGGACTCGACTGTCCCTAAATGTTAAGCCTATAAGTGAAGAAAGTCGATGACATGTCCTCTTACGGATACGCCATCTAGAGGACCGACAGAGAACAAATGTCATCGGCAGAACTTGGTTTTGCAACTCTCTGCCTTGGAGTGTCTCGTTTATCTTTGATATTCGAGGATAGAGTTCGCATTTGTGGTTCAACCATAGTAAAAATCAACCAGTAAGTCCACTCCCACTACTTTCATTCATAAATTCACAAAGTTCTCGGTGACCTCGAAACGAAGTGAGGAGCTAATTTCGTTGTTCTGCCACAGGCGTGCACTCATATAAAAACGAAATTTAAGGATATTATAGAAGATTTTGTGGTAAGTTACTTATAACCAACTACAAAAACTAAAAACAACAATAACAATAGCGAATAAACCAGACACAATATCAATTTCCGACCGTTTATTATAACTAATCTGATGTCCGTGGTACCGTCAAATCCTTCGATACTACAGCACTAAACCCCGGCAACTCGGGCGGATCACGTGGTGAGATAGTCTAGTGATAGTCTAGTGATAGTCCGTTTCAATAAAGAAAGGGATATTTTTGGTTCTCTGTTCACAGATGAAAATTTATTAGCCGACTATTTACCTAAATTTCAACATCTAGACGCTATGCTTCAAATGATGTAACACAAATTATTTTTGTGGATATGTCACAATTTCGTTTCCATAATAATTGTTTTAGTACGCTAAAGGCATGATTCATGTCAATAAAAACTCTCGCGGGTTAACCTATATATGGCACACTGCTTTACCTGCTCTTTTGAAAGTGAAGAAATATTCGTGACTACAATGTCTTCATTATCAAGATCATCATAGTCATTAACAATTTCATGCTGATTCGTTGATATATTCGATCGGTTTATTTTTTATCAGCCCACATTTGTTAAACTAGGACGACAAGTCCTATAAATCACGCAGAGGCGAAATGAAGAAAATAATTTGTGAAAAGATCATGATAAAGTTTTTCCTTGCCTACTGTAGTTAAGTAAGTTACCGAATATATAGAGTGTACCTACTAACCGGTATAACTTTTCATTTGGCGATTCATTTCTAAGGCAATTTTTTAATTTCAAGTGGACCAGTAAGATTGAAAAATGAAAATGTTTTTATTTTGTTATTCCAAAACTATTCATGTATTAATACAATAATACTGTTTTGTATGACATTTGATGATTAGTATGATCAAAAAAGTTTCTGAGTTTGAAAAGTTTTCAAATCCGAATTAACTACAAGGAATGTACTTTTTTTTTATTCCAATTGCGAAAAATATCTCACAATAATCTTTGAACCACCTTCATTCCTAAGACTGGATTTCAAATAAAAGATGGATTGATCTTGAAGGGATTGAAATTAGATTTTCACATATTTTCTCAATATAGGTACTGCACTCTTTATTCTTCATGAAATCAAGAGATCCAACGTACCTACTTAAGTATTCCATTCGCAGAGGCTTCAGGAAAACGATTCTTGTTCCATCTAAGGTACAAAGTGAAAGAATTTCCATATTATAGTCCATGAATTAAAGATCATAATAAAATACGAGCGGCAGAATTCGATTCTTCCACCATCTAGCGGCATATGTACAAAGTTGGGTCAGTCTCATTTTTCGCGTCAAGAGTTTTTGATAAAACAAATACGTTATGGATTTTCATCAAATATCGGCCGATTCCATCACACATCCCTATATCCCTTTTTGGAACCATCTAATGATACAGCATTGATACCTAGCAAATAAAACAGTTATCAATTCAGACCAAACACTTCATATAATCACCATCGAACACCGATAAATTACAGTAAATACATGTCTTCTTCTTTATATTTCAAATATCAGTGACACCAATCATAAAAACCTGAAACTGAGTGAAACATATAAGAACATTTTATTGTGAATACGATCAATTGGCACACAAACCACTGGCCTACCGCACTGAAGCACCGAACTAGAAGAAATAAAAATTAAAAATGTACCTTTTGTATGAAATATAAAATAACACAATTTGCCTCATTGGCAGTACTGGAATTATACCATCATAAGAGTTATGTGCAACAGTGCAATAGTAAAATTCGGAACTTTCTCAACATTCGCTCATTTTCTATTCGACATGCACACTGTAAACACATTTCTGAATTTCATGACTTTTCGGATGTTGTTTCGAAATTTCTATTAATGGAGACGTTATGAAATATCGACTTAGTGTTGGCATGTTGGCACCATTGACACAGATTGATTCAATATTTTATAATGAACAAATAAACAATAAATAAGAAAATAGGACATATTGTTCCAATTGTCAGTTGTCACAACCACCGTATAGAAGTAAATCACCCACAACTTATCAATTAATAATAAAGATGGGTGATGACCCATATGCTTCGGTCGCGAAGGGGAAGCTCAAATTGAAGACGGATACAACTATAAAGAAAAAGAAAAAAAAGAAAAATCAAAAGCTACTGGAACAGGTAACCAAGACACTAGAAACGGAAGATCTTCAGAAATCCGAAGAATCCAAACCTAAACAGACCAAAACTAAAGCTGAATTGGCTTTTCTACAGCAACAGGAAAAAATGGTAAATTATAATTTTATTTCACTTGGGAGTAAATCTAATTCCCAACAATACATGACTAATTTTATACACAGCTTTGCTCATCTCGAAAAGAGAGTTGAAGTTATATTTGCTTCTCTTCTATGTGCACTTTTCAATAGATTGAAGCCTATGACACTTTCGATCTCCTCAAGAAGTTGGTGAAACTATTTCAAATATTCAAGAAAGACAGATATATGTTCAATTTCGTTTCAACTTTCTAGGCATAGTTCTTAGTCTCAGTAAAGTATCCAAAAACACTCTCGTTGATTTGTTTTAATCAAACTCTTAGTTCTTAGACTTAAGATGTGTGTTGTATAAACCTGCTATTAAGTACCGAAAATGATCCCAGTGTCTCAAATACTTTTGATATCAATAATCTCAACTATCTTTTCGTCTACTTTTGCATGAAATTCTTTAAAATCTATGTTCTTTGTAAATTTGAGGTTGTAATAATTATACTTTCTTTTTTTCAGAAAACTAAACGCATATTAGACAAGGCATCACAAACTCACAAGGAAAGAGTAGAAAAATTCAATCAACATCTAGATAGTCTCACAGAACATTTTGATATTCCAAAAGTATCTTGGACAAAATGATGGGATTTGTTTAATTTCAATGATTGTGGGATAATTATGCTGATAATCTAGAAAGTGGAAGGGAGTACTTTATATTTTGTGAATAATGTTCACAATATAATCAACAAACATACTTGACACAGCTATGATACTTGTAATAGAATAAATTTATTTATTGCCATTCAGTGTTTTACTTACCTAATTCTAATAATGGTATACTAACACCAACATTAGTGAAATCGATGCCACTTCTGAAAAGTTGCTGGCATATATGAAAAAGTTGTTGTGATATGTATTGATGCAGTTGAGTTGTATGTTGTTTTCAATGAATGAAACGGTCCTGGAGGCCATATAGACTCGTCATAGCAATATTAGGTAAATGGGCTTACAAAAAATTATTACAATTTATAAGACTAGTTTATTCTTTATTGATTGCAGGTGAATCATAATCTTCATGTTCTGTTAACATCAGTCACAATTTCAGATATATTCAACATTAATCTTTTGGGCTTCCAGCTACAACTAATAATTGGAATGCTTAAAATTATTATTATGTATCAAATATATTATTTATGTACATTAACAAATGTCAACTGATTAATTTCCTAAAATTCTTCAACAGCCTTTCGAACGATTTTTTTAAGACACATTTTGAAACTACTGTAAGAAAACCTATCATCCAATCTATCTCTTCCTCTTGCTCCCATTTCTTTAATATTATCTTTCAACACCCTGTACATAAAGTCAGCCAAACTATCAGAATTTGGCTCACAGAGGTATCCTGTTACTCCATGGTCAACTGTTTCACGAGGGCCCCCGCTGTTGACAGCAATCACAGGTTTAGATACCAACATTGCTTCAAGAGGGACTATTCCAAAATGTTCTTTCACTGGAGTATATACAAGACAAGAACATGAGTTGAGTAGTTCAGCCTTGAGATTATCATTTGGAGACTTAAGAAATATCACTTTATCTTCTAAACTTTTTTCTTTGGTTAATGTAACAAGTTCCAGGAAAGTTTCTGCATTGATCCTCGACTGTGGGTCAAATCCTCCAGCGACCAGAAGGAAAATTTTGTCCCATTCCTCTCTTGAAACAATATTTTTTAGTTGTGTCATGGCTAATATAGCTAATTCAAGTTTCTTAGCAGGATGAAAACGATTTAGGGACAGAAACACAAACTTGTTTTGACTATTACTTTGGATTTCTGGCACTAGTTTTTCTATAGGCTTCATTGTTCTCAATTGTTCCACAGTTTTTTGGTAGGAATTTGCTATAGTGGGGTACAAAATGTGAATTGACTTTTTTATATCAGGGAACGTCTTTCGAAATACGGAAGCGGTATATTGGCTGTTGACTAGAATTATATCAGCTTGACCGGTGGCTTTCATTTCAAGCCAGTCAATGGGTTTCCTATAAATTTTCTTTAGCTTACCACCAGGAGCACTAGCAAGCAAGTCAGGATGATGACAATAGTAAATAACTTTCTCATTAGCCAATTTCAGAAATGGATTTGCTATTGGAATTAAATCTGTGAAGTACAGGTCAGGTTTATTCTCGTCTCTCATGAATAGAATGTATACTATGGACAAATATATCATCCTTATATAGGCACATAACGCTTGGAATTTTCCAAATATGCTCCTGGGCAACCAATCTCCATAAACTTCTACAGGAAAATTACCATTTTTGAGTTCATCAAATGCATGACTTTTGTCAAAGTGATTTGTGATGAACCTCACTTGGTGACCATCAAGAGATAAGGCACTTGCAATGTCCAGAATCAGCCTTTCAGCGCCTCCTATTCCAAGATCGGGATGTATGAAAGCAATTTTCAGTTTTTTGTCACTATTCATTTTTTAAGACTTATTTATGGACTATTTAAATTTAACACATCATACTTCCCCACTTGAAGTGTTTCTTAGTTTCTTCCATTATCAATGAGGGAATGAGGTTAGATTTATATCAAATGTCAATAACAGTGACAACTGTAAAGAGAGAACATCGGGTGAAACAAATTAAAAAAGAATAGACACCTTAACGTCGCATGAGGTCACGATGTTTTAAGTTACATATTTTTATCGTGCACATAAGAAATTATAAAAATCACTTGATACAGATACAATTCTGGATTGACAGTTTTTATTTATTCTAACATAAAAAAAGTGGAACTTCGTGAGAGCTATATTCGGAGTTTACTTTATCAAATTTCAAGATATACGACTAATAAGTATGATTGATTGAGGTTGTCAAACCTGAGAGTAACCATATTTGCACATGGGCACAGATTAATCTGTATCTGTGACAAGGTCGCAATTTTCACACAGTAGTTTATCCTATTTTATGAAATGGCATATAAAAAACTAGCATTTGCAAAAATAATTAAACGTTTCGGAGGCTGGAGTCTGCCTTCATGTTCAATACTGAAAAAATCAATTATAACTTGCGTCTGAAACAACTACTATTCGCAAACCCCAGAACTGTAACAGCTTCTCGACGCCACTTCTGGAGATAAAAACACCAACTTGGCTGGTAAAACGCGCGTCGAGAAGAATGTTGTATTCTGGCGGTTGGAAACAGTACTTGTTTTGACTGTATAAATGCGAATGTTACTTTTTTTCAGATTGGGAAAGGTAAAGAACCTCAAAGAGGTAAAGACTTTTGTTCAACCTTTCAAATAGTTTTGATAAAAATCATATTATGAAATGAAACAAATCGAGTTGAATGTATTTTTATTGTCATATTTACGTCTTTTCCAACAATATTAAGTGACAAATATTTACAAATAATGTGAAATACTGAATCACAATAAATAACACATATCTAAACATTCAGAAAATGTACTGGCAGAATACACGAATGTGAACATCAAATTGACTATCGATGACAGAAAGGTCATACATTTGGGAGAACAGGAAGGAGGTAATAGCTTGATTGGCCATGAAAAACTGAAGTACTAGTGATGGGCATTAATGAATTAATTTCAGGCTCGAATGATAAATCACTAGGATGCCGGCATTCACAAATTTAATTCTAAATCAAGTCTCAACTGTGCTTATGACATTTCATGAGAGACATGACAACACAATTACTTTATGATAAATTTGTATGTATTCACATCTGTGATGCACAAGTCTCTTTCCTCCATCCTTTGCTCAAAGTCTGCTTTCGAGAGTTATTAAAAGTCGAACGCATTTCTAGAGTACGAATTAGGAATGTTGACTTTTTGTCCAGCTTAGAATAGATTCGGGAGTTTTGACTTTTTTTAGTTTGGATGGAATATTCAAAGCAGTTGTAATGATATGCGTATCAACTGTATCATTATTGTCATTTCTTTCTCTTTGGTGTTAACATTTGCTATTTTTATCAAGTGCTGATTTGACGACTAGAAGCTAGATTTTCATGAAGTTCATGTAAGGAATATTATGACAATTTCGGCATTGAATTTCTGAATATTTCAGTGGCATGCCTTTACATAACAACATCCTACAAATTTCAAAACTTAGGCAGTGCATTGGCCAGTCAAAGCAGAAAACTTGACTCGAATATTACTAGTAATTATTAGTATGCATGTGAATTATCTCCATCATTCGAGTTCATGAGATGTCTCATCACTAAAAATTGAAAATTTCCTATTTCAACAAGATTTTTTCAGCAGTGAACTTTGGCATGAACAAATTAGGTCAAAAGCTTTTACACTTATCTTTCGTCAAATGTTCAAATAGCAACAACGAATTCAAAACAATTTATTGTGAGATTTTCACTAAACAGTTTTACGTAAACGCAACACACATTTCAACATATAATGGATTCTTTGGGCGTGTCTTTACTAACTATATTATGCATATTCAATGAAGTACCTGAGTTTGTAATGAAATAAATTACCTGAGCTTATGTACCAGTTTCCATATTTGAAAAAATATTTAGTAATGAGGAGTTATTCAATTCTAATTGATCATTCAGTAAATTACTCGTTTTCTGAAGAAAGAATGCGTGAATGTAGCTTACATAACGACTAATCGTGGCTCTAGCCCAAAACTGTATATTAGCCAAACAAGGAGAAAATTTTCACAAAGTATTGAAGAACACATAAGTAGTTTTGTAAATAGAAAGACCAATTCCACATTTGCAAACACCTTTTAGCAGAAGGACATGAGTTCAATGATGAATACAATGTGTTACATTTGGAGGACAAGAGTTGGAAACTCAATCTTCTAGAATATTTAGAAATCAATAGATTCAAGAATTCGGGTAATTTACTGAATATTCAATTATAATTGAATAACTCCCCGTTACTAAATGTTTATTCAAATGTTGAAACTGGGACACCTCAGGTAATTCATTTCATTACAAACTCAGGTACTTGAAATGTAGGTACTTCAAATTGTAAAATTATTTATGAAAAACTGTTTAGTGAAAATCTCACAATAAAGTGTTTTGAATGGGTTAGTTATGGATTTTCATCAACTATTGGCCAATTCCATCATATACAAATAGCAACACTAATGAGTTTATTATAACATTCAATTTTTTTAAGTGATGTATATCATCAAATAATGAAATGAAAACATAAATATTTACAAAATGGCACAGCTATGTACAATACAGTACTTCACCAAAACATCATTTTGGCTGTCGATATGATCCTCACCAAACATTACTAATTGAGTGTATCAATATATCATTTTCAAGAAATGTGAATCTCATGATGAAGGCTAAAATGTGTTTGTGATCAAGAAAAAAAATCCAGTTTATTGAATAATGAATGAAGTCCATCACAGTACTTAAAAATGAGAATTTTTCATGAAACAATTTTCTTTGTCGAGGATCTAATCAAACAGACATACATACAATTGCTAGTCATTGGGATATGTTTTCGCATGAGAGTCCATTTTTTTATTGATCTGAAGTTTTCTATACAATGAATATCTATATACAAGATTCACTAATTCATCATCATCATTGAGCAGATAATTAAATATGAAGACGATTTAGCAATTGGAATCCGGAAACTTTCATTGATGAATCCCTTCCAAATTTCATTATCTATTCAATGGAGTCAATACATCAAATATTAATGGTAGTTTCAGTAGCATAATTTACAAATTGATTACTCACAGAGCAAAAGTATACAATATGAGAGATAAGCTCTATTATCGGACGCAAGTTACTATTGCATATTGATTTTTTGTTCCTTTTTTCTACACACAGTTGGATAAAATTAAATTATAAAAATGATGCACATAAGAATTCAATATAGGCACTGATGATTGAATTATTAATTCAAAAACTAGTTTGCTAGATGACCTTCAGTTTCCTTGTGTTTGTTACTCATGAACAGGGTTAAAATTCATATGGCAACATAAACTTACAACCACTCTTTTTTGGCATAGGAAATACTTCTGATTAGCTGAAAAAAAAGTATTTATGATATTGCAAAACTTCAATCCATTTTTATAGGGAAACAGATGATTTTTTTATAAGACAGGAGGATAATTGTAAAAATACTGTTGTAGACATCATGAATGTTGAAAAAAGTGACCTTTAACACATCAGAAATACAGTTATTCTCATTGAGTAACAATTTTGGGTTTTACGAAACAAACTCTTAGTTATTCCCATAGAAATATCAATTCTGCACTAAATATAACATATTCATAATGAAAGTCTAATTCATGGAAATATTGAAATTTCTCAAAATTAACAGAGAACGCATATTGCCACCATTCAATGATATGTATAAAACTTTCATTGTCCTTATTGCCGAAATTTTCAATGAAAAGATCTACAGAAATGTTTGTGCTCAGCAAAATGTTTTCATTACGGTATCTTACCAGTCAGTATCTTTCCATTTTATAAAAGGCTGTATAAAAAATTCGATAATGCCAGACAAAAAAACCTTATGATTTTGAAATCATAGTTGACAAGTTGAAAAGAAACGAGATATTCACATTTTGACAATTATTGATCCTCTTAAAAAGTCTCAGTAAAATTTTTGAAATGGTTCAGATTTATTAAAAAATTAAGTGGATAAAAATAGACAGTGCAAAATTTAATAAAACGGCATTTGCCTCATTCGAACTCCTATCTTTTTTTAAATAACATCAGCTGCTTCAACCATCACAGGTATCACTGAAGTGAATACTGTCAATGGTTAAGGACACTCTATATTTTATAATTATTTGTGCACACCGACCCTCACTGGAATCTGGAAAATTTGGTTAATTGTTAGTATTTCTTGAACAAAAAAGTTTCAATATGTTGAAACCTTGCTATATTGAAATTTCTCCCCCTTAACAAAACATGAACATTTATGTAAATCAGTTATGTTTGACATAGCGGAAATTCAATCAAGTTGATATGACTCCTTCGATATTTTTTGAATGCCATCAAATCGAAATTTTACCACCTCGATTTCCAACCCTTAGAGACAGGTGGCGCTGCAAAACTCATGATTAACAAATAAATATTTTTTTGTATGAATCCTCTCCGACGGATAATTCCTTTAATGTCTAACAATTTCTATCTTATCAAAACAAAATAGGTTAGGTGGTTGCTGTTGAATACATGAAAGTATTCAATCTTTCTAGAGTCAAATCATCCCATTTCTTTATTTTCCGATCTTGTGGAAAGCTAAAAATTATTCAACTGGCTTAGAGAAAGATATATCTTCAGTCGCATTTGTGGTTTGATGATGTTAGTGTAGAGGGTGAAACTTAGCAAGATTTCAAAGTAAGGGGGCAAGTTCCTAAATTAAGTAATAACTTTAAAGTAAGTACAAAAATAATATTTTGAATATTTACATTAAAGAAATGTCTAACCTCCCAAAGAGAAGGTTCTCGTATTTTTAATAAAATAGAAATAAATAAAATATTAATGAACACGACACTTGACAGATTAATAACTATCTTTATCTGTTTTATCAGATAAATCTGATTTGAGCCAATTTGGAATTGTCCGTATCCCATTTTTCTTAAATAATTTCACTAAAGCTGTATTGTGGCTCAAATAGTATCTCTGCAGGTACTTCAGAGACTTCTCTTCCATCGGGGGGTACTGTCTACCTTTGCTGCGTCCCAAACATTTCGTGTGATCTCCGTTTATTATTTGGCAAAAGAACCCTTTCTTAGGGTCAAATCTAAAAAGAATTCATATAATAACACAACAATCCTGTCAATATAATTAACGATGCGAATAAAGTCTACGACGTACCTTAAGTGTTCAGTGTAATTGAAGAAAGGTGTAATTTTCAAAAACTTTTGCAGCTCGTTCATTACTTCTACAGGACTGCTTTTCAATTCTTCCCCGTCTATAATATGCAATGACTGGGGAAGAAAGTAATTCATCCACCTTTCCAAGTGCTGAGCATACTTTCCTGGATTGAGGCACCTTCAATACAATCATTATAAGTATGAAAAGTACTCGAAAATATGTGATGGAATCGGCAAATACTTAATGAAAATCCATAAAGTATTTGAAAAACGCTTTATCGTGAGATTTTCACAGTTTTACCAAAAATGTAATACTTGTTTCGCTGAATAGTAGCTTCTTCAGGCGTGTCTACACTAATCTAGTTAGGATAGATACGCCTGAAGAAACTATTGTATAACGAAACACGTGTTGCCTTTCGAAAAACTTTGTAGCAAAAATGTCACAATAAAGTGTTTCATAAATACTTGAAAATAATTTTTACCTGTTTCTCAGATCTCTCAGAGGTTTGGGAGCTGTATCGGTGGCAGTAATAACCTGATGGAAGCTGTAGTTATTAGCAATAATATCACCATGGGCTTTCGTATGTTGATACCAAGAGTAGGCCCTTTTAGCAGGCGATATTAGAATTGTTATGAGTTTCGCGTGAGGCAGCAGAGCATGCACCCTTCTTGGCACCAGTTCCCCATCGAAATAAGTAGCACTTTTTTCAAAATAGTATTTTGTTGAGGAGTTTGCATCAGTTGGGAAAAAATCCATATACCTGAAAGTATAATGAATTAAATATGGTGTCATCATCAAAAAAGGCAATACAAATACAACAGTAAAGTTGTGACAAAAAATTACGCAGATAATATGAAATACAAGTGAACACAAAAAAACTTTTCTAATAACGATAATAAACAATACTCTTTTTTCCTCACATCTTGATCAAACAATTTTTTGGTTAGTTTTTGAGGCAAACTTTATTATCAGTTATTATCCATTAAAAGTTAACCCTTTCAGGTAGTTTCTATTCAGGAATGTTCATTGTCAATCTAATTATTGCTGAATTGTAGACTTTTTCTTCTGGGTCTTAAGAAATTACAGCCATAGTTAAGAAATAAGTACCCAACTTATTATCCTAGGGAGAGTAAATAATCCATTTCATTGGATTAAGATGAGTAGGTATGAGATTGAATGTATGAAAATGTAAAACCAACGGTTCTGGGAGGGGGGTAATCACTACCATTACTCTCCTTGCATATTTGACTCTAGAAACCTGGCTTAGGCTTTTGCACATGTGTGAATTTTATTCGAATAGTAGGAAGACTTCCGGAACTGTCATTTTTGTACAACACATTTTCTTGAAAACCAAATTGACTTGGGTCAAATATTTATGTTTTAAAGATGAAATCAACTATCCTTCTCTTATTTTTTAAATTTTACAATAAACTTAAAGTTATTGATTCATACTTTTCCGGGTCTTCAGCATTATCACTTTTAAATATAGGTATCATTGATGCATGTTTCAGTTCCTAGGAAAAAAATACCTCTTATGAAATATTAATTAATTTACTGAATGGTTCTATCAACATGTTTTTCAATACGAAAATGACTTTGGTAAGAAAACATTGTGGTGTCAGGAGTGGGGTTGAGAGTATAAATATGTTCAATTCATATGTTGCTCATCATTATTAGTGAATAAATATTATCATTATTATATTTCATTGAAATATATGAATAATTCATTTTGAGGTCTTTCAAACTCACCAATCCAATCCTCTCAGGTAATTATGTGCATTGAAAAACTGGATTTCTTCGAAAGTTGTTGGACTAGGTAAATTACTAGCTATTGCCGGATGAAGAGACAGAAAAGTATAAAGCGCCGTTGTACCAGTCTTTTGAGGTCCTATCACCAAAAATTTTGGAAGCGAATCGCACGATTTATTTCTCGACCAAATTTTTTGATGTCTTTGATCATCACAGGGGTTCTAAAACAAATGATGGCGACTCAAAACTGAAGTACCTCAAATATATGTATTTCAATAGTTCTACACTGAAAGAAAATCCTTCAAGTACAGAACCACAACTCACCCCCCATACAGGATCCGCTTCACCAGGATACAGTTTGAAGTAACTTTCAGCCAATTGAAGGGGAGGTGCTGAAGACAACTTGATATTTGTCCAACATTGGATGAATTTTATGACCGATTCAAAGGTATAAAGACCTAACCTGTCATTTCCATAGTTTGACATATGTGTCATGAAAATATTAATCTGAAAATAGAGTTGTGTTAAAAAACAAAGAGAATCATGTTCAAAGATCGACAGTGTTGCCCATTGAGTTTGGAACAATTGAAAGATTTTATAATTAACCACACAATAAAATTTGATTTCGCCTAAAAGGCAAGACAAAAATATTGAATCAATTTGAAAATAAAGTACCATTATTGAAAAAAACGAAAAAATTTCATTTAGAAAAGTTGTTCATAATTGAAAGCTTTACTTACATTTGAAGTAATGGCCTTCTATTCAAATTTTCACTATTTTCACTATTTTTTGGAAAAATTTGAGTTACTCTTTTATAAATATTATTGGAGTTTTTTCCCCANTTGTTGCGATAATATTCAACAGCATTGAAAAATTTCGAAAATATGTTTAAACAAAGGCAAAAACGAGGTTTCACAAAAAATATTTATGTATTCATTGATTTCTATTTTGTCCTCTTCAAAGTAATGTACGTCAGATATAATACACTTGTGCCACCGTTTTTTCTAATCATGGAAGCAGTACTGATATGCCTTATTTGGTATGTCCTCAAGCTCTCTCAGAGATTTCGTTTTTATCTTCTCAATCGTCTCAAGACACCGTCGCTTCATGGGTTTCATCAATTTTGGAAATAGGAAAAAGTCGCAGGGGGCCAAATCTGGTGAATACGGTGGCTGAGAAATAATTACGATGTTGCTTTTGTCAAAAAAATTACAAACAAGTAATTACGAGTGAGCAGGTGCATTATGGTGGTACATAAGCCATGAATTGTTTTTCCACAATATGAAGTATTGAATTTTTATTTCAAATCCTTCAGAAGATGTCTCAAATAGAAGAGATCTTGAGCAAGCAAACTGACAAAACTATCGCACAACCTAGAAACCTGCAGAAATACAAAGAAACAATCAAAGTGTATTTCTCTCTACTGAGTTGGCCCATAAGTGATAATGTATTTCAACAACGTCCACAAAATATGCATCGCTTTGAATGTACATTCGTATACACCGAGTCTAAAGTAGATCGCAACATCGTTGCAAGAATATTTCTGCACTTGATTGTTATGGATGTTTTGAGCTCTTCAATACTTGTGAAGTTCGATCCTTGTAAAGTTTTATTTCACGTGTCTCCGTAAGAAAAAACTGAGTGATTCAGGGTCTGGAGAACGAGGAGGTCACCTTGAATCGGTAAACCATCTTAACCTTTCACCACCAAAATTTCCTTTCAGCCATTGAAAAACATCAGTGGTGGAATGGCTAAGACATCCATCATTTTGGAACCATAAATTGTTATGTTCTTGCGATATCCTGAAAAGTTCAAGTAATTAACATTTTCTCAAAAATAAACGGCCCCATTGATTTATGATTCAATATACCACACCAAACGATTGTTTTTCCAATTTTTGGATGATACACCATTTGCTGTAAAAACAGATTATTCGGCAAACAGAATATCACAAAATATTTCACCTTGAGGCCACATAGAAAAATCGTACTTTAAAAATCATAGTCTCTCTGGCATNACCGTTCGAGAAAAGAACCGAAGAACTACTTCAATATAGTAGGGATCGGTTCAGAATAATTACAGGGTTACTAACCGGTCATTGTCCGCTTAGAGGACACCTGAATAAAATGGGGCTGTATAACGGAGACCTCAGCTGCAGATTATGCAACGAAGAGATATAAACAGCTCTACAGATTTTGTGCGAATGTGAAGCACTGAATCACAGGAGTCAGGCAATATATGGACGTACGAAATTACGTCCAGAAGAATATGAGGAACATTCAACACGGAACCTGTACAAACTAGTACAGGGAACGAGACTGATGCAATGGGTGTCATGGGAAGATGGGAGAATAAACGCAATAAGACCAAGAGGCTGCAGTGTTTTCTGAAGACTTGGACTAAATGGACAAGTCAGACAGCTCCCAAGGTATCAAAAAAAAACCTGTAAAGACACAACCATAAACCCTTAACAGATGAGTTAAAAAAAGCCAAATGGTCAAACTTTTGATTCCATTGACTATTCTATTTGGTACGTTTTGTTGAGGTTTATTTATCTGAAGCAACTCTCATTTGTTGCAAACTTAATGGATTACACTGTATACAGAAACCAAAAACTTACTGGGTTGTATATGATGGTTTGAAACAATTCCCCACCCTGTATCGACTCATCCAACTTATCCCTACCACCTGGATACCTATCTATGAGCATGGTGTGTGTGAACAAACCGCAAGTTTGACGAGGTAGCACCATTATGTTCCTGTGTATGAATCCTCTCCTCAACCTAGCAGGCCTCAAATGTGGGTATTCCTCAGTGGAAGTAACTCTAATGTTCCAAACTTTTTTCCAAGCAGTGTATAACGGTTCGTGTACTGGGTAAACCCCAGAGTGATGCGGGGAAATTGAATAACCCGAATCGACAGGTATTCCTATAACGTAGAATCAAAAACTCTGGTGATTTTCTATATGAAAACATATGAAATTTCGTTAAATTCCGTCCTTACCTTTTTCTTTGGCAAAATTCTTATTCAGCACCATGTCTTCCATAAGTAATGTGATATTGTCGTACAAATGCGGTTGCTGATGATTCCACATGTGTGAGAACCACATAAATTTATCGATATTCTCTAAAATTAGATCATCTCCTTTATTTTCCTCACTATTGCCGTGATGAAAATACTTTCCAGAAAAGCCTAAAATTTGGAATAATCAAAACTCAATGTATACTGGTGCAAAATAAACTGATTGAAGTTCGCTAAGTTATTCAACACTACCTTGTGCGACTGTCACATACACACCTAAATTGAATTTGAATCCTGGAACCATGCTAGCTAATCTTGCTTGTGTATTTATCAAAGCTTTGACATCTTCAGGCCTTATCCGGATGCCAACTTCTCCCACAAATATATCATCAATATCGACAAGGAATTTACGATCCAAAGATAAACTCAGCTGCCCGTGACTGAGGTAACTCAAGCTGTCCAGAAACAAAAGACGATGCAACCAAAACCTCAAACCTGAACCAAATATGACCCTCTGGATGTTATCGTACAAGCCATGATCTTGGATAACGGTGGGTAGGGGAGTTTTAGCGCCACCTTCAAAATTAAGTAAAAATTGATAATATCGAAGGATGACAAAACAAATGTGTATATACTACTTACTGTCATTCAGTTGAAAGTGATCATTTCTATTAGCCCATTCTAAAGGTTCGTAGGTCGAATGATTTGGTTGAAATACTGTCCAGTCATTTTGAAGAATTCTGGGACCATTCATTATTCCACATCTGATGTTGGGTTCGGGTCTCGTTGGCCTTTGTATGAATCTTGAAAGTGAATCATTGTTTTAATTTGAAACTAACAATATTTTGGGAAATTATTAAAAAAACGGTAATTCTGTGATATTCAAACTGTAATAAAACGGAAAGTTTATGTTCTGCACTTGAAGAAAAAAGTAACCTCAAATCCTAAACATAACAAAAACCCCCATAAATAATATCATTGACTTCCATTTCAAGTTGTCATTTATTTGTTTTTTCAGATAATATGGCATTTGCACTTCCTAATATTAGACTTTCGTCTATCTAATAAATTTCCCCAAAACAACATCTTCAATATTTTTATTGGTGTATAGGAAAATAGTCCAGTTAATATTTTTACTTGAATTTCATCTTGCTGTTTTTTTTTTCTAGTTATCATAAGTTCAAGAAATTCATCAAGACTCTTAATGAAATTATCATCACATGTTGGTAGGTAATACATCCATCTAAAACTAACAACCAAATGATACATCTAGAGTAGTCGGAGGCTCATTTTCAATTTCTTTTTGAAGTTATACAGAGAGTAATCCCAGAATTAATTAGGAAGGGAGTTAGTATCTTTTGACGAGACGTCAGAGAAACTTCATGTAAATAGTGTTTAGGTACAAATGGTAGATTGCATTTTCTGGTTTTCACTTGATGCAGGCTACGCATTATTGTCTTTTTAGTAGATATGTGGGATGACCAGTATTCAAAACTTCATAAACAAGAGTGAGGAAATGAAGTTTACGCATTTTTTCAAAGTTGAGCCATCTGGAGTCATCCAGTCATATTTTGTTCAAAGACTGTACTGGGCATTGGAGCGTATGAAACTTTTTTTATGTTCAACTGGTATCATCCAGAAATTCGTTGTTTTTGAGATTTTACATTTACATTCAAACCATGTACTTACTTGAGAATGAAACATATATGCGTTTAGAGTTTTCTATTTGATAATGTAGCCTCACCCATTATCATAATATTATACCACAAATCAACAACACAGCTCGTCAAATTTTAGAAGAAATGTATTAAAATATACACAAAAATACAGGCTAGACACTCTTTCTTCAAGATCCTGAGTTTGAATTTATAACAGAAAGATTTAGGAGTCATAAATTAAGTTTATATCACGTCTTTCTTGTTTTCTAGTACAACGTTTGAAACTAGTTTAATTTTCAAATTATGTAACTATTTTCCCCCATTCTATCTTGTAAAGGAAATGTATGTGTTGAAATATCTTCATTTCACTGGTGTACAGAAAAGAATCTCATAGATTTTACTATACTTTTGAATTTGCTGTATATTCAACTCTTTGTGTTTATGAATTAGTAAAATGGTTTCAGTAATTTTTTCATGAACTTGGAGATGCAATAAATACAAAATTTAAATCAATACTCCTCACATAGGACAAAAAAACAAGTTTGAAAGTGTAAAAGTGATTTGAACACACTGGCAGTTTTTTAAATATTAAGTTCTCACTAATATTATATCTCAGAGCCTCCGTAGAGATTATTGTTTGGTAGAAATAGTTTTTCGATTTTAAGAAAACCGAAAAAATGTCTCTATGTTTTGAATTCTAAGTAAACTTCTTGCAATTATTTTTGATTATAGTTAATACTTTTGTTGTTGATATTAATCTTTCAATTTGAATATAACAAAATTATTGTGACATCTTGTCATAATATTTTGTTATATTTTTGTGATATCTTACAATCAGTATATTTAACAAATCATGTTGTGTTGTTCTCATTTTTCATTCTATCTTGTTTTCGTACAATTTATTTGCTTGGTTACATATTCAACTACCTCAAAAACTTCCATATTTCTCTAGAAGCTTCAACTCAATTCTCACATAATAACAGTGATGTCTTGCAGTTTTCACTGAAAAAATTCATTATTCACAGGGAAAATCAACTAGACCACATATTAACTAGTTAGGAGGTGAGTAAAGGAAAATTAAAATGTGAATAATTTAGTTTGATAATTCTAGGTATTACGGTGAAGAGGAAATATCTTTATGAAGTGTTTTATTGTTACTACTTTCTTTCTTCCTTCCTTTCGAAGTTTCCTATATTTTTTGTTCAATGATTGAGAATTATCAAACCAAAAAGATTTTTTTCCAAAGAAACTAATCTGTCCTAAATGTTTCTAATGGATTCCACTACTTCTTACCTTCAACTTCAGATTGGTGTGGATGAACAAAGGAAAACCCTTCAGTTGGGTACCGACGTAAGTTTCTTCTTCCGGCGCGATGAAACCAATAATACCAACCGAATATTCGCGACAATATTTATCCAAGAGTTCTCTGTTCCAATTATCCATTTGAAGGTACTTAGTGAAATTTTCAAATACTATTACACCGTAACGTCCTTTATCCAAATTCGTTAAGACAGGCACACTTTTGCCGGAAACTTCAATTTTGTACCTAGAACCACAAACGATATTCGTCAGATAGGCCTTGTCTTATAAAGCATGTGCTATCATAATGATGCAGAAACGGAAAAAAAAGATTGACATCATTTTGATATAACGTACTCACTTTATTCTTGTGTGAACTAACAGTTCAGCAATGTCTCTTCCTAATTTGGAGTACATCGTTTCTACAAAAACTAAAACCTTAGGGTAACTACGCAGTCTTGCATCTGTTTTATGATCATGGTTTTGAAGAATTCTGGGACCATTCATTATTCCACATCTGATGTTGGGTTCGGGTCTCGTTGGCCTTTGTATGAATCTTGAAAGTGAATCATTGTTTCAATTTGAAACTAACAATATTTTGGGAAATTATTCTGAACGCTCGATTTTCACTTGCTATCGTCCAACTCATGTTAGGAATCACACGTTAAAAGGTAAGACCTCGTTAGTCCTTAGCTCGCACAAGTTTAGACTTCTGAAGGTTGTCGTTCGTAGGGGTGCGATAGCTGGTTAAAGGAAAAAATATATTTTTTCAAACAGAAATCAAATCAAAATGAGTTTATAGACTGTATTCAAAGTAGTTGTTTGTTGGTAGGCATTTATCAGAACCTATGGTGGAGCGCATTATGAGATATGAATGTTTTGGGATTTTATCTTTAAATATTTATGTATATTTGAATAAAGTACAACCTGAAAGATGGGAGAGATGAATGTTTTGAGATTTCATTTTGAAATATTTATGTATGTATGAATAAAATACCACCTGAGTTGAAAGAACTCTCGTTATCGACTTTCAGGACGCGTATCATCAGATTTCTCGATAGATAGTAAAATCTATTTTTATTTTTGAGTTCTATTGTTTATTTTTTTAATAATAATAAATTTTATCACTCTTCCGAGAATTACTAATTTAACATTGAATATGTTGAAGAAAATCTTTATGTTTCCTTGACTAGTCTATCTCCAATTTGATCTGAGATTTATTAATTTAGTGATAGCAATGCTTATATTCCTTTTAACGTAAGGGCATTCAAAAGTATTCAATTTTTTTTTTATGTTAGCCATTACTTCAACTCCCGCCAAACGGTCATATCCCGCTAAACCGGTGAAGCGGAAAGAGAAGCTAGGTAAAAATACTCAAATGACCTATGAATAGTCATATTTCGGAGGAATTAGTCCAGTCATCACCTGAAGACGATTGTGAATACTAACAATCGAAACGTCGTGAAGTAACTTGGCTTGGAATCTCTTTAATTTTAATTTTTTATTTTTTGTTCAATGATTGAGAATTATCAAACCAAAAAGATTTTTTTCCAAAGAAACTAATCTGTCCTAAATGTTGCTAATGGATTCCACTACTTTCATTTGTAATAGTTCTTTCAGGGATTTCAAATCATTTTATGTAATATTAGACAATAGAAGTCCAAATTAATGTAATTCAGATTCAATGAAATTTTTTCAATCTCCTGTAAATTTGTAAGTAAATGGTTTATGAAATAAATTCATGACTTTCCCTTCAATATTATTTTGCAATACACCGAAGTTTCTTAACTTTTCTTTACAGATAACGAAAAAAAATCAATATTTGTTTCTCGATTTGTTTACAATAAGATTTTGTGAACAATCTTTTAGGTCTGTTCAGTTAGTGTTAGTGTTAGTTTTTCATCACAAACTAATGATGAAAAACTAAGCAGTATTTAGGTAATAAATTTGGCATGCGTTCCTGTCTAATGATGAATAAATTGAACAGATTTATCATTTTCATATGAAAATGCGACTCGCAAAAATTAGCTAACCAAGAATAAAATCGAATAAAATGATTTAATTCAGTTGAGAATTTCAAGTGAATAGTCTGTTCGACGTCAATATAACGTGTGTAATACTTAATGTTATCTGCATTGTGATTAGATTACCACCATGCCTTAAATCAACAGTAATTCCATGAGGAAAATGGTACGTGTCCATTTACAATAAAAATTAATATTAAAATTGAACACTCATTTTTTTTATTTCATTCAGAAAATATTATAATATTAAGAACAAATAAATGAATATCTTCCAGAGAGGTGCATATGACATGCTCCAGTTTAGATGAAAACACCATAACCTTGCCTCTCATGTGAACCTAAGACTTTCTAGTTACGTGTGGCAGATACCCGACAGAAACCAACACCTAACCCAGCTAATGCCGCGCAACTATAGTAATTAGTATTAACGTTGTTCCATCGAAAGTGGTTGAAATATTCAATTTCATATTCGATATTCAACTCATAACATTCACTGGAGTTTTTTACTAACACCAAACCGTTATTTTAACACCTCGACACGTGTTTCGATCACCAAGTGATCATCTTCAAGAGGAAGATTGATCGTCCAATAAAGCATATTTTGATTGATACGAAATTGAGAAAACTTTTTCTATCCAATAATATTCCTAAACCATCCCCACATGGGTAATTATAACATATAATCATCTTCTACTATTATCAGGAAAAAATTCTCCGCTAGTAATCTAAATAAGAGGCTACTTATCTATTTCCTGAAGTCAACCAGACAAATTATTTCTTTGGTGTCACATGAAAACGAATATAATCATTCCAATGTGGTTTTGATGAATACATTAATTGTTTATGGTAATGAAACATGAACATAATTGAAACATGCAATGAGTTGAATGCAACGCATTATAATTTATTGAGAATCAATTTTTATGTATTTTGAAAATGTAAACATTTTCAAAGAATAAAAATTAACATCATGTGTTGAGATTGTAGTAAAGGATTTGGCCTAGGAGATAGTGTGAATATCTAGTTGACTATTGGTGACCAATTTTTCAGGCTGACTTTTGAGTTTTTCCAGATACCAAGTGACTGGGACATCAAAATTTTGAGAACATTTTTTTCACAGCTATTTGTCTAAGTTTTGGTTATTTGTGTTTTCCTTTCATGTGTGATGTGTGTGGCGAAATAATATAAAAATACGAAAGCAATTAGTATAATACACAGTTTTGAACATCATGATACATATTTGGAAGTTTTTTTTACGTCTTTCTAGAAAAATTCAAAAGCTTTGTTTGTTTTATATGTACACAAACGATGAAAATAGCATAAAAACAAATTTGACAGTGGTTCAACTTTAATTTTTTGCTGTGAATTATAAGAGTTTATTAAATTCACTATAATTCTTATTGAAATCGTATAAGAAATTTGTGAAGTTTTCTCAGGTTTGTTAATTTTCTGTCGTTGAGAATTTGTTAAGATTTTCTATTCTTTTCCATTGTTCTCCATTTTTTTAAGCATCCTTTTTTACTAAGTACCTTACCTGCTAAACAATATGCCCTCAAACTATCGTAATTTATCTCAAAGAGGCTATCCTGAATGGGTAGTTGAGTTCAATAAATTTTAGCAAATTTCAATCCTTTCAGTTTGTTTGTATCATATGTTTGTTAGGTTTGGTTGATAATATTTTGAATTTACTTGGTCCTTTTGTGTGTATTTTTGTATTTTATGACACAAATATTTATTATTACTAATTTCTTTCGAGGCCATAATATGTGCTCTCCTAGTCTGCTTTGCATCTTTATTTTTTAATCTACTGAAAACATGGTATTGAAGAGCTTCATAAGAATGTTGAAAAAATCGTCCGTTTTTCTATTGATATTCTAGTCAGTTTCATATCAGTCTATAACAAAATAGAAACTTTTTATTATATGATTTGATTAGTAATCAGAGAAGCCCTCCTATAATGCATTTTAAAAACAATGTAGTTCTTTGAAACTTATTATGATGGGCTATGTATGTTTTCTGAAATTTGACTTTAATATCTCAGCTGCCCATTTACTGATGAGTAATTACTCTACTATAATTATTTTAAGCAATCTAATTACAGTATCTAGGGGAAAACATTAAAAATTGTATGTACCTGTCCTAATTACATTTAGTAGGTAAATATTCAAAATTTGTTTTATCAGTCAAAAGGTTTCAATCCATTATATACTAGCAGTTCTGTTGACATGAAGAGAACAGTTTATTTTTTTTTCATCTCTTCCAATATGTACATCAAGCATTGGGAACATCTGGTTACAAACTGTTATTTACAAAGCAATGTGTATCTAATTTTAAATGATTGGTCATCTAGCCAGTTATTGGGTAGCATATATCTTCTCTCACTGATAGTGTGTTTATCAGTATGAAAATTTAATTCCTCCTCTAATACAAGTGAGTAGGGGAGATTGAAGTTTGTACAAATTCTCATACTATGGCAGATTATATGAGAGAATTTATTTATTTGTTTTTTAAATCATATATTTTCCTTTTTGAATGCCTTGTTCATGATACGGGTAACTGTTTTTATTTAAGAAAAAAGAACGATAAAAATAAAAACAACAATAAAAATTAATTGGCGCTCCGGGGAGACTTCATTGATTCCAGTGGTTAACTTGGAAAGCAAAACACGTGACGAGAGATAGCAAAAAAGAGAACAAACTGAAAATGATGAAAGGTTATATAATGAACCAAAAATATATGAAATGAACTATGGTTCAAAGGGACTCATCATATCCAATAGCATATGCTAACCAATGTCAATTCAACAAATGTTATTAAATCCTTTGAATCCATTTTGAACTTTTGACGTCCATGAAATTCAAAACGCCCTATTTTACCACATTATGAGATAATGCAACTTTATATTATTCAGGTTCCCACTTATTCACTTATAATATTGATTTCCGAAAATGAAATGTATTTTTTTGATGAATGTAACTTAATAGATAAGTTGCCGTAATCGGTTGAAGAAATTGATATTTCTCAACCCTAATATTTTCAAATGAAATCATAACAATGTATCATTTTGTGAAAATTTTGTTAAAGAGATTCATGTCCCAGCTTTGAATTTTTTGAACCTCAATTCGAACTTTGAACTGTCTCCAGTTTCCCCTACATGTATTGAGTAACTTATGGAATTCATAGTGCAGTGCTATTCTTATCAACATCCCATTACAAAATGTATGTCATTGAAGGCTCATAGTTCAATGATGTTTGTTATGTAGGTTTTTGGTCAGCACATTTTTATTTTGTTTTGAAATCAGACAAAATTCTCAAAGATGGATGAATGAATGTGCTATTTAGAAGAAATATATTAAAAGTAACTACTCTGTTAACTAGTGCTATTTTCTCTCTATGAATATGACCCAATATTCCTACGTCATATTGAAACTTATGCAAGCTGCGGTTTAAAGAGGCCTTACTTTTTAATGTGCGATTCTCAAGAGATTAAAAGGTAAGGTGTTGACATTAAATACTGCTGTAGTAGTATTGCCTAGTTGGTGTTAGCAGCTGCATTTTTATAGATAATAATTTCATGCTGATTGAATTATGCATTCTCTGTTGGATCAAACAACACTGAGGTGAGATTGTGAATAACTTTTAGGGAATGGCTCAATCTGGAATGAAATAAGTGCCAACAAAATACACCTATGATCACAGATTAAAATCAAAACAAATATAAATATATCTTAATATTGATGTGAGAAATTACTTACGTAGTTAAATATGGAGAACGAGTTTGCCTGGAGTATATTATTATCAATATAATTGAAAAAAATATAACAGCAAATACACACTTCCTTAAAGATGAAGGCTTCAATATCCAACTCGTTTTCTTTCTGATCCTCTGCGGAAAATGTCTTATGGTCGGTAATTGGCTTTTACCCCCCAAGAGGGGGTGAGAATCATCAGACATCTCACTTACAACTTATAATAATACTATTGACTTAATTTTGTTAATTCTAAGGGTTCAATTATGGCACACTTCAGGAATGTAAATTACACTTTTAGGTCGATTATTTTATTTTATCGATAGTCCTCCATTTACTATGCTTCCAGATTTCTAACTCAGAGAACACATACACTCTTGCCATTTTCTTCGCACTTGCTTTCCTGGATCTCATTGTTTTTCTCTTGAAAATGATTACATTGTAAATACATCACTTGTTCCTTCCTATTCTCTTTAAACCAATGGAATTCTGTAACAGTTTTAAATCAAAACCTACTCTGTAAACAAGACTTCTGTTCAAATAATGATAAAAATTTTATCTATGTTTGTATCTACATTATACATTCGCAAAACGGTTTGTCAACGCGAGTGGAATACATTTATTTATCAAATCACTGAATGCTAAGTGCAACGTGAAATGCAAATTAATTTGTTGCTATTTATTGAGCATACAAATTAATCAAAATATAACCTCTATGTGGAGACGTAAAATATAACTTACCTCAGGTTTTTCTTCAACTTTTTACATATTGAGACAGAAGTAAGTTTTTATAACAAAACAGGAATTATTTATTTACTCTTCTATTATTAATGCACGAAATGGCATTCCCATTGAAGATATTTTCGATTCACCTTTCACTTATTCACTTTGCCTCGCATGAATCACAAATAAATCAAATTGTAGTTTTCTATTTCACATTACGATGTCTATTCTCTGGTGGATGTGCAATACGCTTTTGTTGAAGGTTGTAGACCAAGTGAAGTGACGTTACCGCAAGATGGTGCCAGTAATCCATATTTCTATTAAGTCATGCCTTGATGATGTTGCCAATACCATTATTTTTTCTTGAAAACAAATAAGTGAGGTTGTCGCAAAAAATCGCTAAGATGACGTTAGTTGACATTATAACTGTGCCAAATTTAAAAAATTATCTTTGCTGGTAGATTAGTTCTGTTGTTCGCTATTCGGATTATTTATTGAGTACTGTGTGAAATGAGGCGATGTTTTTCGTCTGGGTATTCCAAAAGTGTTGATGCAAGTATAACGTTACATATGATACCTAAAAGGTAACAAAATAGATGTAAAATAGAAATGAACGTTTGATTATTAATGAAAGCGTTTGTGACTCGAAATATAAAAACAAAAGATATGTATTTCTAGCATAGAGAGCGAAAAACTTGCAGGACGAATATATTTGAAATTAGTAGATTAAGGCGAACAAAACGCACCTAGAGAGGATCCACAGTTTTAACAGGTTCACAGGTAAAATATTTTCATTCCCGTCCAATAGATTAACAAAAAATTACGTATTTACTCATCATATTATGAATATTATTTAGATTTTAATATTTACATAAAAATAAAATTTGTTCTCCATGCATGCACATGAACCAACAAACCTATTAGATTTGATGATAAACACCGTTGACAATTCTAGATTCTTATAGAATATATATTGGAAAACTTCTACATATTAACAATATCCCAAAATTATATTTTATATGGTTTAATGCTCCGCAATGGAAACAAAAGCCAATAACATATATATATAGAGAGAGAGACAATATTTCATGTCAGGGTCACCACAATTCACATCTAATCATCGTCAAAGTCACAGAATACTTTTCAGAAGGAACAGGAACCATGGACATTTTGAGAATCTCTAGGTGATTACTGTCAATCAAAAAATGTTGTCGAGTGGTTAGTGTACTTGAACATGGTAAAATTAAGTTAGGATGATTAAACTTGTTGGAATGTTTGCCTCACAATCTTTCTAGATGACATTATAATACTTCTTCAACTGCAATCAAATTTTATATCTGATATGTTTCGAATAATTTGAATTTTCCTTCTACAATGACATTGAACACCTTGAACGCAGATTACAGGTCACAACCTATTCTGTAAGGTATTCTGTGTCACAGTATAACAAGTTACGGAATACTGTGATCACGTTGTGGAATAAGCAACACTGTACCGTCACACGAACCTCGATGGTAACGACATCTAGCGTTTTTTAAAAGCAGCCCACGCAAATAAAATCAAGCAAGCAAAATATACACGAAACTGTGACGAAAGATAAACAAATCGTTGTTTAAAGTCATATGTCTTTTCAAATAACGGTATGAATCTACAACAGTGTACAATGTTACACATTAAGAAATAATCTTTAACATTAGGCATCTGAAAGTTTATGTTTCCAAACAGTTTTTTTGACGAATAACTCGTTGTTCGTTGTCGTGTTCAACTACTGACTCCCAGATGGTAAATAATCGTATTAACTCTTAGAAGGTACCGACTTTGTTTTCATTCTGGAAGTCACGCTATTAAAATCTCAGAAATGAAATTTTCAAAGGTGAGATATCAAGTGAAAGAGTAACCTTTGCATATAAATATAGACTATCCTTGTATACAAAGATGTAGTTCAGTAAATTCAATGAATTTTAAATAATAAAAAAATGGCATGTTTAGTTGAAGCATTGCCAGAGAGATAGCGCTAATAAAAAAAAATCTGCCAATAATCACAGTTACTGGCATTTTTATAGACTGAAAAATTCAAATCACTTCAAATTAAATTGTTATGAATTTAAAGTGATAATAATTATTTAAAAAAAATGAAGAATTGGATATTACCACGTAGTTTTGAATGATAATTTATTGTTTGTGCTATATTTTAGTATGCAATGAAAAATATAGTTTTTCTGTTTATATAATCTAACTGCATTTCTCATGAATTGTGGTTTCATATTTGAGCAGCACCCCAAAATTGTATTCGCTGAATGATAAATATCAACAGATTCCCTACTTTTAAATATATTTTTTTAAGTTACATAAAAAAGTCTAGCAGGTTTAAATCGAGCAATCGGGTTAGCTAGTAATGATCCCAGTGTCTTCCTTCAACTCTGCCTCTTGACATTTGATTGATAGACAAATTTATCAAGTTTTATATTGATGAAACTTTGTATATGATCATAAAATTGAACATACAAAAATTGTTTAGAAATGCCACTTGCCATTTCAATTTTAATCTATGTTCCATCTATTATTTGTCTAATTCAAAGTCAAACCAATTCCAGAGTCCAATTTCATGTGGTTTGTTAATAAAAATATCTCATATGTTTTCGATTTCAATGGTGATGTCACTGCTTATCGAAAAACCCGATAAATATCCAAATTGAACTAAAATCGATCCCAATATTTTTTTCAATTACACGCATTAATGACAATAACCGCAATATGAGAAATGAAGATCGTTGTTATTTAAAAAGAATCTAATAAAAGTATAGAGAGAACGTTTTCCGCATGATCGATTCATCATTTTGCGGTTGAGATTATTATTGAAATTGCGAAATTTTTATATTGAATTCGGTGAAAATGATTTTGTCACGTCCCATCCATACATTGGATAACATCTTCCAGTTCGAGCTTTGCATTTCGAAAATTTTCAGTGTGGGTCGAAAATAATTAGTTCCGGATGACATTACGCAATTTTTATACTTTATAAAGTGGCAAATCCCTTGGAACAGTCAGTAGCTAGTTATTATTTCTAACATCAATATGAGAGTGACCGCGGTTATAATTGTGAGTGTTATTTTTTTGAAAGAAGTGCAGTTTTTTCAATAATTTTAATGATACATTATCTGAATAATTAATGAAACACCTAAAAATATTTGTATTGACGCCCTATAATATAATTTTGTCGGAATTTAAATACTCCAATTACCTACTATTGTTTTTCTTTATATTGATTAATTGATAAATAAGCGATATACAGGGTGTTTCCTTATGATATGCGAATACTCCAGGGTATAAATCTATATAAACTATGGCCCAATACGTAGCTTTGAAGTTTTGAGACAAAAAAGGGAAATTAGATATTCAATATTTCGGAAATCATTTCAAGTCATTTCAATCAAGTGATATTTGGTAAACAGTGACAGTTGATATTTTCAGATATTTTCAAAGGCATGTTATTTTTGTCAGTGGTACCTTCAAAACATTATACAGAATCCGCGATTTGAATTTACGGACAAAGCTAAGTTTTCAATAAATGCCAATCAGAATATCTACAACAATCATTTATGGGCTGAAGAAAATCCCTATGCCTCTTTCTAACACCAATTTTCCGTTAACGTATGGGCCATATTCTATATGGTAACGTATGGTAACCACATTCTATATTGGACAATTCTTCTTGCCTGGACGACTTGACGGACATTCTTACTTCAACTTCCTTGAATAACAACTGCCGCTGCTGCTCAAAAATGTATCCTTGTCAACTAGAAATATGAATATTACTGAAGTTCTATCACGTTTTTTTAACACTTCGACACGTGTTTCAACACCAAAGGTACCAAACAGCAGGACATCACAAGAACAAAAAATGTAATGTAGCAAATTGTTGTATTGGCCGCGGTGGGCCTCAAGAGTGGCCACCAAGGTCTCCAGACCTCAATAGCTTGGGAATATTTTTGTGAGGACATCTTAATACGCCAGAGTACACAAGTCCCATTGACCCTGGAGAAGGATTTGAAAGAAATAATATTTGCAGCATGTAATAGAATAAAAAAATAGTCTGGGACTATTCAACTAGTGCGAATTTTCATGAGAACGAGAGCAGAAAGATCCATGTTAAGCGAGGGAAGACAGTTTTAATGATTTTTGTAACAATCTTCCCACGTTAATTATGTACATGTTGTTGATTGCTGTAATAAGTTTGATTTTTTCAATTAGAATATTATTATTTTTGTTTTGTTAACGGAGAATTCTAAAATAATTTTCATTTGAAAACAAACATTTAACTTACTGGTAGTAAATGTCCAAACGTATACCACTGTTGAAATGGAAAATTCTTTCTGTGAAAAATGTGCAGCTTTATCGAGTGTCACTGCCTAACTAATTCAGAAACTGAAGTACGAGGTGTACGAAACGAGGGGTTCAAGAATAAATTTTATTAGAGAAAAATCCACAGGCGTATCATTTTTTAAAATATTGAAGTCAATTCCCTCACCCACGCCACTGTTGGACTTGAAAATTATCATTTCATTGAAAAATATGAATTTCTATCAACTGTCACTGCTTTCTAAATATCACTAAAATATCCCAAATGGTTTCGGAAATGTTGAATAATTTCCATTTTTTTATATTTAATACCTCGTATTTTCTCAACGGAACAATGTATCAACCTATTATTATGTTTTTGTAGATATCTAAACCTTCGAAAATTCACATATCATCAAGGAACACCCTGCATAGAAATTTTTTTTTTGATACACGTTGAACAAAAATATCCCTCTGTTTCTTACAATTTTTTTTTCTGATTAATGTTTTCATCACTTCAGATCAGCCATTTCTTCGCTTTAATGGGTTTGGTCTCATCAGAAGATGGGGAGTTAGACAGCTTTTCCTTCCACAAGTTCAGTGGTCCTGTTAGTGGGGAAGCGAGAAGAATTATAGTTCCTAATACAAACCATAACCAACAGGGAAGCCAAAGCGTTGATTTTATAGTAAGGAAAAAAATATTAATGATGTAGACCTTTGAAATAAAAAAACTTGTCTTATCATCTACTAGACAGTTTACGAATTGTCATTATTAATTTAGATAAAATGTTGAAAGCTGTATGAATAGCTAGCTATACATCAGATTGATCTAGCCTCCCAAGGAAAATATCCAAAACTTTCTGTGTTCTGTGGTAAAAACCAGAACAACATAATAACATCAAACTTGGAAATAAATAATTGGTACTACAGTCGAAAAGCAAATTAGTAATTATGACACACTCATCGTGGGAAAAAAGTTCCCTTTCCAATTTCGAAAATAATTAACTTGAAAACATTTCAAACACTTGGACTTGGTACACTCGGGATATAATTTTTCATAAAATTCAATCAAAGTATATGTGTTTGACCTGCACAATATAAATACAGAATTCAAGAAAAAGTAAGTTTTCAGAATAATAAGCATGTAGGCAGGCAAAACATAATGAGAAATGGGATTGTCTACTTTCTTACGGAGATTTCTTCTGTTGAGTTCGATGGAAAACTCATATCTATTTGATCAAAGGTAAAGGAGGGTTTCAGCCGATCTATTGCAAAGCGAAGCTTCGAGAATGCAGAAATTGCTTTCTGTCTCTCTGCAGCTATCACTGTATTTAGTCGACCAGATGATGACAATTGGAAACACAACCTTTGAAGAGAGGAGGTCAAGTTTCGTATCGATCCCAATAGATGGCGAGGAGAGTCGGCATGCCCTCTTTTACCAGGATTTTTTTGTTAAAGACAGATGGCACTGACGACATCTTAGGCAGATCGGAACAACTTTATCTCAATATTCATTTATCGAATCTAGTATCAAACATTACGAAATGTATACCTGAACATACATCTTCAAATCATAGTATGCTTAATGATTCAATTTTTCATTAATTTCCTGGTGAAAAAAATTATAATAATGATAATAATGGTATGATTTCTTCAAATAATATACTTTTTCCATACTAGAACAAAAGTACTGTTTCTCGACGCGTGTTTGGCTAACCGATTAGCATCATCAGATGAAAAAAACTGATTTTTCATCAAATGAGGTTCCATAAATGAATTCCATGTATTGTGTTTGATGGTTTATTGAAAACATCTGTTATGTACTTGATATTTACCGGGTTGCTATTCCTAATTACTATGTAAGAAAGTAAATGAAGGGCTGTTTGGAATGCTACGTTTATCGCTATTCATAGATTTCATTCTACATATCTAAAATATCAAAGAGATGTACCTACATGTTGTCACGTACTGGTCTCAACAATTTCAAACAGCTTTCACTTGTTTTGTGACCATCCTCTGGTCTATGAAACCAAATATGTTCCTTGAAACGCATTATCATAGTTCGTTAAGTTTGACCAACATATTTTTGGTCGCAATTCTCACAGCTCATTTCGTGAAATCCCAGACTCCACTTTGTGACTTAGCATGACTGTTGCATCATATGTTGTTCGATTTTATTTGAAACCCGATCATGCATAATGTACTATGTCTACCTGAAAATACACTTTTTCAGGCAAAACCAGATTACTCATTCACATACGGAGTTCACGATGGCGAATCTGAAAACTCCCAGACACACCGCGAGTCTAGAAATGGCGACGAAGTTCACGGAGAATACAGGGTGTTGCAACCAGATGGACTTGTGAGGATAGTGCGGTACACAGCAGATCCATCAACAGGGTTCAAAGCTACGGTTGAGTACGCCCCACTCTGATATTTGATTTGACCAAAACTTTAGGTATTATTTATTCCAAATTTTATCCACCAGGGAAAAAATATAGGGCTGGGTTTGTTAGCCCAAAAATGGACCGTGATAAGAAATATGAAAAATATTACTCTTTTGTTATTGTATACTTTTTATTCGATATGATATTATGAATAAGTCCGTGGATAAAAACGGCTTGTGAATTTGTGATATTTTTGTAGTATAACAAGAAACATATGATATTTTTAAATTCAAAGGGGCGTGTTGGAATCTGTGAAATGTATTGAAACCAAATGATGAATAATAAGATCAAATAAAGTAATGAAGTTTGTTTTCACACTCCATATATAGAGAGTTAAAATCATTTTATCGTGACTTTTATGGGTGACTTTTTAATAAAACAGAATTAATCGATGAACAAATCATTGATGGTTATACTTTTTTTCTCATTGACTCAATCCATATTGAGAAACTACATTTCCTCGATATTTCCGAGCATTTCCTCTTGAGAGTTTTAGGAATTTCATGATCACCAGATAAATGATTATATTCACTTAGACTCCTTCATAAATCTCATCAGATCTCACCAACAAACTAAATATGCTAAACAGCTGAAACTGTGTGAACATATGTATGAAACGAGTATACCAACAGAAAATCTCTGATCGAATATACGTAGTCCGCGAAATTTGAACAGTCACCTAATTTTTTCACGGAACTCGTATCTTCATGGGTATTTGAAATATCAATATTGATGAAATGGTTTAATTTTTATGTGACATTTAAACTGCGCTGAGAGTTGTCAATTCGATTGCTACACATAAATTTGCGATTTCATTTCATATTTTGTTTATTGTCCAAAATTCATGTTTTATTTTTTTGTGATAAATAAAAGTGAAAGAATGTTTTCTAAGTAAAGACAATCGATCATCTTGAAAAAAGATTTGATTGACATTTTTTGGTTTTCTTCCCTCAAAAATGAAGAAGAAAACTAATGAAAACATTTAGAATTGATTAGAACTGGCCGATACTTGAATGAAAATACATATTAAAACTCATTAATAAAGTTTATTGTATGATTTTCACTATGAAGGGTTTTACAAAAACCACGACACGTGTTTCGCTATACAATAGCTTTCTCAAGCGTAAAATATTGTATAGCGAAACACGTGTCGCGGTTTTTGTAAAATCCTTTATAATGTCCTAAATACATATTGGTAGGTATATCTGTTCGGATTCTTGGGTAAAAGCAAAATTAAAGAGTTGCTGAATCAACTTTTTTTCGTAAGTTATGTAGCATAAGTCTGAGATTGAAATTAAATTCAATGTCAGTCTCAAAATAAGGTATGTAACTGACAAAAAACAAAATTTTTGATCTGATCCTTATAGGGGCTATCCTTATGACGCATTAAATGAAATGAATAGACTAAGTAATATGTTTAGCAATACCTAATGAACGTATTGTAACGTAATATGAACGTTTTTAAAACAACACGGAGCCCATAACATAACATGCCCCTAAAAGCTTTTTTCGGTACATGTTAATGAGAACTGGTTTTCAGAAATGTCTACTATTTATTTATCCAGTTATATTTATCATCAGTACTTGAAAACTCAAATATTTGGAAGACTATAACTTGTACTATACTCGTCGTTCATATTTACATAGCCCGGGTAGCTCAGTCGGTAGAGCATTGGACTTTTAATCCAAGGGTCCAGGGTTCAAGTCCCTGCTCGGGCGGATTTTTTTTAAAATTTTGTCGATTTTGTTCTTGTTCATTCAGTTTTATCGAATTTTTCTCAAGATACTGTTGAGAAAAAACTATTTTTTTTCAATTAATTTCGTCATGTTAGTGATAACACACTGAAGAGTTCAAAATTTACGACTCTGAAAGAATTCAGTCTATTAGAAAGGGATCACATAACATTCACTTTCATTAAAATCGTGCAATTCTGAAATGTCGAAAACGTTTCAGATTAATTGAAATTTATTGGCGAAGAAAACCCATAAAATTGTTCAAGTCGTTCGAATGTTCCGATATACCACAGAAAAATGACGTTATAACATCGATGCCTCTAAAAAGAATAAGAAAGCGAAAGTACCCACACTTGGAGTAGAACCACTTATACTCGAATCTGAACTAGATCACATACATACGCATAATCCTCACTGACTTCCTCATTCTTAATCTGTCACCACCGTGATATATCCTTCACAAAGTTTAATTAATTACCCTTTTCATTCTATTTTGAAAATGCTGATAATAATAATCAATCAATCAATATACTTTATTGTCCAAGAAAAGATATTTTTATTTACAAAGCTTTCTATAATCTGTACATAATTATATAAGTACATAATACATAATAAGTACACAATTAAATTTGACAAATAGTATTCTATATACCACAGGTCGACAAATACAAAAATTTACACAACTCAAAAAGTGAGCATCATCATGAAATTATTTTCATTTATACCGGGTGTCCCAGAGCTTTTAGGCCAGCAGATATCTCAGTCACCTGCAGAAAAAAATTGAAAAAAAATATGTATATCATAGAAGACCACCAGCACTTTCATGTAGCAGAGCAAAATCCANGACCGAGAAATGAAAAAGACTGTAAGTTGAACCAAAACAAACATGGGCGTGCCATTTGAAAAACAAAAGTTAGGGGTGGTTTCTTGGGGGTTGTTTACCAGGGGGTGGATTTTGCTATGCTGCATGAAAGTGCTTGTGTTCTCCTATGATACATATTTTTGTTTTAATTTTTGTTCTGCAGGTAACTGAGATATCTGCTGGCCTAAAAGCTCTGGGACACCCTATAGCTTATTATAATATAAAATGAATATAGGTATAATTAAATTTGTAAATAGTATTCTAGTACATAAATTAAGTTGACAAAGGCAAAAATTTATCACAATACAAGAAAGTGAGCATCATCGTAAAACTCCTCTAGGGTGTAATAGGATTTGAGCCGTAATATTTTTTTAATTTTTTTTCGAATAATATGGTATATAGAGATTTCTCTCAAGCAGGGTTCCAAATTGTTGTATATCCTTTTGCTCTCACACGTTATTGATTTTTTCGTTAATTCTAAGCGGGGGATACGGAGAGGTAAGTTTTTTCCCGTTATTTGGCGAGAATTATGGCTTGTTCGTGTGAGTTCAGTATCGGAGAAGATGGACTTGAGCTTATGCTCCAAACATAGAGTCTCAAATATAAAAATGGAAGTTACAGTCAAAATTGTGTGTTTTATAAATAACGGTTTACAATGGTCGGTGTATTTAGCTCTGGACTTGAATCTGACTGCTCGTTTCTGCAGAACGAAAACAGAATCGAACATTGCTTGCTGCAATAACCCCAAAATGCAATATTATATTGCAGGTGTGATGCGATTAGAGTAAAATATGTCACCTTATTCATTGGTAGACCCAGTTCCTCAGACACAACTCTCACTGCAAAGCAGCCCGAAGCCAGTTCCCTTTTGAGACTTCGTATGAGGATATGGAATTTTAGGTTACTATCAATTTCAATGCCAGAGTTTGTTTTCAATAGTTGTAGTGTCAAATATAAGAGGTTAGAAGGCTAGTTTTTTTGCATTGAAGCAGATATGTTTTGAGTCGCAACACTGTTTTACCTTCTTCAAATCATCTTCCATTTTTGATTTAGTAACTCAAAATGGACTCCCCTTCCACATCGTTGTCATCTCATCAGCAAACATTGTGAACTGGCCCTGTATATTAATACTGGCTAAGTCATTTATATATAATTGAAATAATACCGGCCCAAGGAGTGAACCTTGTGGAACGCCACTCCTGATATTACGTAATTTTGAGTTGGAGTTGGTCTCTTTCATTTTCACAAGTTGCTTTCTGTCAGAAAGGTATGACTCGAACCAATTGTAGCTCACATCTCTAAATCCATAACACTGAAGGTTTTGGAGTAGTACCCCGTGATTGACGCAGTCAAAGGCTTTTGACAAATCGCAGAACACTGTCCCAATGCTGTGTCTTCATTGATCCCTAGATCCCTTTTCCATTTGTGTTTTGGTCTTGCAAACACCGACGGATCTACACTGTTTCCACCTTTGTGGATTGGAATGAAAACTGCTGTTTTTAGGCACTGTCAAATGAAATATTTATAGCTTCAGCTAAGGTTATCAAGGGTCCTTCAGAGATACTTTCCAATGTTTAAATCTGTTTGAAATATGTTTTCCCGTTAACCAGCTGTCGCACCCTTACGAACGACAACCCTCAGAAGTCGAAACTTGTGTGAGATAAGGACTAATGAGGTTTCATTTTTTAACGTGTGATTCCTAACACGGGTTGGACGATAGCAAGTGAAAATCGATGGTTCAGCCTGGGGCTTGAACCACCGACCAACACGGCGGTCGATTTGAGTGAGTAAACAAAGCACCCACGTCGAACTGACCGGCTACCGACGGACCATGTACTCAAAGGAATGTCGTTAATACCAGTACTTCTTTAATTTCACGGAATATTTCTCGTAACTCGATGGCACTGGTGGGGTGCAAGAGGAAGATTTCAGTCACAAGTATGTCTTGCATATAACACATTGGATCCAACCCTATTTTTGTAGTACCTGTCTTTGGTAGTTCAACTAGAAGTTTGAATAACTTTTTATAATATCAATAATAATACGTTTATCGATTCATCTAGGTTCTGTGGATGTAAACCAATATTTTTTTTCAATTACAAGATTAATTGAAACTCGAAAATAATTTTTTCTTGATTTTAACAAATGTATTTCGCTTTACGAGTGATTTTTTCTTGAAAAAATTTGTAAAAATAGGAAGTTGTATAAGGGAATTATCATACTGGAAGATTCAGAACTTGAAAATATGTTTTTCATACTTTCCTGAAAGAAAAGTGTATGCTATTTTATAGAATAAATGTTGTAATTCTATTGAAAACCATCTTCCTTGATGCCGGAGGAAACTCAGTTGATGACATAAGCTCGCATATGGAATATTTTTCTAGAATAATTTTCAAGACGTGTTTCTCATGTTTGAAGATGACTTTACGTTATCAAAAGAAAATCTCTCGAATTATTATGTTCATATTCACTTTGATATGATTTGTTCTTTCATAATTCACACTTCTATCCGGTACATTGCATATTATATAATTTGGAAAATCACAAACCAATGATATTTGAAACTTTCATGAAAAACATTTTTCTGATTTTTCTTTCACCTCAAACTTGTGAGAAGCTTGTGTAATCCCTGTATAATCAATAAATGCCTATTTAAACATTGCCAACTGTTTTTTAATTTCATTTCAGCAAATAAAT